CAGGCTGGTCTCAAACTCCTGGGCTCACACAATCCTTCCTCCTTGGCCTCCCAATGGGCTGGCATTATAGGTATGAGCCACCATGCCTGGCCACAAAATACATTTCTTAAAACAGTAAGACTTGAATGTTGAAATTACTCCTTGATCTCATGGGCGCAGAATGGATACTGTGTTAGCAGGCACGAATACAACATTAATCTCCTTGTACATCTCCATCAGAGCTTTTTTTTTTTGAGATGGACTCTCACTTTGTCACCAGGCTAGAGTGCAGTGGCGCGATCTCGGCTCACAGCAACCTTCGCCCCCTGGGTTCAAGCGAGTCTCCTGCCTCAGCACCTCCCAAGTAGCTGGGACTACAGGTGTGACCCACCACGCCCAGCTACTTTTTGTATTTTTAGTAGAGACAGGGTTTCGCCATGTTGGCCAGGCTGGTCTTGAACTCCTGGCCTCAAGTGATCCACCTGCCTCGGCCTCCCAAAGTGCTGGGATTACAGGCGTGAGCCACCGTGCCTGGCCTCCATCAGAGCTCTTAAGGGACCAGGTGAATTATCAATGAGCAATATTTTGAAAGGAATCCTTTTCTCTGAGCAGTTGGTCTCAACAGTGGGCTTAAAATTTTCAGTAAACCATGCTATAAGAGTTGTCTGACAGGTGCTCACAGAGTTGTCTGACACAGGGTTGCCACAAATCTTCCATTTTTTACAAATAGAATATCTACTGAGTACAATAAGCAAAGTGCAATGAAACAAAGTATGCCTGTACTCTGCGTTTTACTTCCTATAAGGGCAGTTCTCCCCGTGGATAGACAACACTTCATAAGATATAATTTACAATGGCTGCACCATAAACCACATGGCCACATTCATCATTCAAGGATTTCTTATAAACAGATGTGTTGTCACCCAGGCTTTTCTGTTCCATTTATAAAGCACAGGCAGAGTACATTTAGCATCATTATTAAGGGCCCTAGGATTTACTGGATGGTAAATAAGTGCTGGTTTCAATTTAAAGTTACCAGTTGTGGCCAAGCGCAGTGGCTCATGCCTGTAATCCTTGCACTCTGGGAGGCTGAGATGGGTGTATCACTTGAGTTTAGGAGTTTGAGACTAGCCAGGACAACATGGTGAAACCCTATTTCTACCCTGAGGTGCCAGGAGGCAAAGGTTGCAGTGAGCTGAGATCACGCCACTATACTCCAGCGTGGGTGACAGAGCAAGACTCTGTCTCAAAAAAAATAAAAATAAAAATAAAAATAAATAAAGTCACCAGTTGCATTATCCCCTAACAAGAGAGTCAATCCTATGCTCTGAAGCCAGGCATTGACTTCTAGCTATGAAAGTCCTAGATGGCATCTTCTTCCAACAGAAGCCTGTTTCATCTGCAGTGAAAATCTGTTGTTTAGTGTAGCCACCTTCATCAATGATCTTAGCTGGATATTCTGGATAACTTGCTGCAGCCTCTCCATCAGCACTTGCTGCTTGACCTTGCGCTTGTATGTTATGGAGATGGCATCTTTCCTTAAACCTCACGAGCCAACATCTGCTAGCCTCAAACTTTTCCTCTGAAGCTTCCTTACCCCTCTCAGACTTCACAGAATTGAAGAGTCAGGGCCTTGCCCGAGATTAGGCTTTGGCTTAAGGGAATGTTATGGCTTGTATTATCTTCTCTACAGATCACTGAGACTTTCTCCAAATCAGCAAGAAGGCCGTTTTGCTTTCTTATCATTTGTGTGTTCACTGGAGTAGTACTTTTAATTTCCTTTAAGAACTTTTCCTTTGCATTCACAACTTGGCTGTCTGGCACAGAGGCCTCGCTTTTAGCCTATCCTGGCTTTCAACATGCTTTTTTCACTAAGCTTAATCCTTTCTAGCTTTTAATTTAAAGTGAGAGATGTGTGACTCTTCCTTCTACTTCAACACTTGGAAGCCATTATAAGGTTATTAATTAGTCTAATTTCAATACTGTTGTTCCCAGAGAATAGGAAGGCCCCAGAAGAGGGAATGAGATGGGGAATGGCTGGTTGCTGAGCATTCAGAATCTACACAACACTGATCAATTATGTTCATCCTCCTATATGAGCACGGTTTGTCGTGCCCCAAAATAACAGTAACATCGATCACAGGATCATCAAAATAGATTTAATAATAAAAAAGTTTGAAATATTTCAGGAATTGCCAAAATGTGACAGAAAGACACAAATGAGCACATGATGTTGGAAAAATGGTGCTCACAGAGTTGTCTGACACAGGGTTGCCACAAATCTTCCATTTTTTACAAATAGAATATCTACTGAGCACAATAAGCAAAGTGCAATGAAACAAAGTATGCCTGTACTCTGCGTTTCACTTCCTATAAGGGCAGTTCTCCCCGTGGATAGACAACACTTAATAAGATATAATTTACAATGGCTGCACCATAAACCACATGGCCACATTCATCATTCAAGGATTTCTTATAATACAAAAGTATTACAATCTTGTATAGTACTTTATCATTTCCAAGACATGTTCACTTCTGTCTTTAGAAACATTATTATTTGCCCCACTTTATAGAAAAGTAAACAGATTTAAAAAAGATTTCAGTAACTTAGCCCCCAGAAACACACTGATGTTGAGGTCTCATCAAATATTCATGCATTCTGATTATCTGACCACTTTGTTCATCTTTTTAAAGGATATACATTGTCCTGTAGAGTTATTCTCTCTCTGATGATTGCATCAAAGGATAAAGTTGTGTTGTAGCAGTAAGCATAACACACTCAGAAATACTATCTCGTCCTCCCCCCACTATTCTTAGCCACTTCTTGCAGAAGACCTAACACTCCCACTTTGAATACAGTTGACCCTTGAACATGGGTTTGAACTGCACAGATCCACTTACATATGGATTTTCTTCCACCTCTGCCACCCAAGGCAGCAAGAGCAATCCCTCCTCTTCCCCAGCCTACTCAATGTGAAGATGGCAAGGATAAAGACCTCGAAGATGATCCCCTGCCACTTAATGAATAGTAAATATACTTTCTATTCCTTTTGATTTTCTTAATAACAGTTCTTTTCTCCAGCTTACTTTAAGAATATAGTCCATAATATATATAACATACAAAATATGTGTTGACTGTTTACACTATTAGGAAGGTTGGCAGTCAACAGCAGGCTATTAATAGTTAAGTTTTGGGGGAGTCTAAAGTTGTATATGAATTTTTGACTGCGAGGGGGCCCTTAACCCCATGTTGTTCAAGGATCAACTGTAACTGGTACAAAGAGACTTCAAAACTAGGGAGTGATGTTTTGTTACAATACCTTCAGATTATGTATGATATCTATCCGCTTGTTCTGGCTGTCCTTAAAGTGAACTTGAACTCTGACAGGAAACTCACCCCAGCCTCTTCTGGTCAGGTGAAAAGGAGGCTCTCTATGGAAAAGCAGATATTAACACGTTCATCCATGTTCACTCTCTCATCCTACACAGGAAAAGTTTTCTGATAATGGATAAATCAGAAATTCACTGTCTTCTGAGAACCA